ATTTTTACACTAGATTGTCCTTCTCTTAAGGACTCAAAAACAACTACATTTAATAAATGTTAGAGAAATTCGTTTACATTTTGTGTTATTTTGTGAGACCACAAAATAACCTAAAACTGACAGGAAACTTTCAGACAACTTGGCATAGTGATTATATGTGTGTGATTATACGTGCTACACTGAACACATCCAAGAATAGGAGGTGGGATAATTTGAAAACTTCAGCCACAGAGAGCAGAGAAACATTGCTTTTCCCCGTTACAGTGACGTCCTGAATATGAACGTACATTTTAAGAAACATTTTAGTCCTCAGATAAGACAACACAGAATGCAAGGCCCAACTTTAAACTTATAAAACAAATAAATAACAAAGAAAAGAATAATAATAAAATAAAAAGTTTACTCTGTAAGAAAGAACATGCGCCCATGCTCAATCCAACAAACTTGCCTTACAATAGCTTACAGGTAGTTTATGATAGCTAATGCTAACAGGCAGGTGTTTGGTACTGGCATAACTGAGGCAGGTCACCAAGTCTGAGGCCGATCTTACACTGCCATGTTTGTAGTACTGCTTAAAATACCAGCACTGTAAAAATAAAGTTTATGGACCTAGGTGCCCTTTAACCTCCTTCTGATTAGCTGCCTGTTGCAAACAAACTGTAGGCGGCGTTGCTTCTATGCTCACATCCTGAGCGATGTGTTGAGATGACCGTCAGAAGGACATCATCTCTGTGACATTATAGAGAGCAAAGAGTGGAAGGAGCTGTCTGAAATGAAGCACAGCGCTGTGAAGCCAGAAACTTTGGCTCACGGGGATTACTTACACGTACACTGCGCTCATTATCTGAATGTTTAGCTATGCCGAATATGAACGTCTCCAATTTTAAACAGCAAAGAGAAAATGAGGAGCAGCTACGTACACATGAATTAAAAATGGCTACATTGTAATTTTATGCACCTTAAACTATGATACTGTTACCCACTTCACGCAAATATCAAGCTAATATTGTAGTTGGACTTTAGATAAAAACAACAAAACTACATATTTTAATCTGAAAGGTAAATTTAAATCACTTTAACACCAAAATATGATAACGTGCTAGTTTTGGAGAAACAAATATGTGAAAATACATCAAACATCTAAGCTGAATCATTCATTTTTGAGCCTCGAGGGCTAATCCCATCCATATTGTGTTAACGAAGATGAAAAATAAACAGCGTAAAGTACTTGAAAATCATCTGATGCATAAA